TTGCTATTTTGAAGATATCTCTTAAATAAAAGGCTACAAAAGAGAAGATAAATAATAGCTCTTTACACCTTATGCCCTTCTGCTCTAAGTATAAGTTACTTATTTGTTTTGGCCTTTCTTATAAGCACTATCTTGTGTAGCTGTTTAAAGATAAGGCTCCTATCTCTTGATCCTTAGTACACCCTTATTAGTAGATTAATAGTGAGCCTATTTATATCGCCAAATAGACATCAATATATTATACTTTTGTCTTACTAACGTTTCCTCCGCGAAATTCTGCTTCCTATTCACAGCACCCTTATTTCTTTCCTAATAGGAATCAGATTATAGGGCTTGGTCTACAAGTCCTTGAGGCTAGGGAGGCTCTTACTAGCTACGCTCGTACGCGTTATGATCAAGCAGCTATAAACGCATAGAAAGGCCTTGTTGAATTTGCTGATAAGCTTAAGAAGGATGACCTTCATACTCGAATGCCTAATACTGTTAAGAGGTCAGGATGGAATAGGCAATTCAAGAGTTATAACAGAGTTAATAAGCGGCTTATGACAGGAGCTGAGGCAGCAGAACATGACTACCAACGTCTCCTCCGCGAAATTCTGCTTCCTACTCGCAGCACCCTTATATCTCTCCTAATAGGAATCAGATTACAGGGCTTGGTCTACAAGTCCTTGAGGCTAGGGAGGCTCTTACTGGCTACGCTCGTACGCGTTATGATCGAGCAGCTACAAACGCACAGAAAGGCCTTGTTGAATTTGCTAATGAGCTTAAGAAGGATGACCTTAATATGACGCTAATAGAGAGCAAGTCGCTATTTAAGAGGCACGCCAGCAGGCTAATATAGCCCTTAGAGCATCATTTACTGCTGTACTAATACCCCCTGCAGGGCCTCCTCCTCCTCCTCTTACTCCTCGAGTCGCTATTCAAGAGGCACGCCAGCAGGCTAATATAGCCCTCAGAGCATCATTTACTGCCGTACCAATACCCCCTGCAGAGCCTCCTCCTCCTCCTCCTCCTCCTCCTCCTCCTCTTACGGCCTCTATTGACGTAGAGAGCGTCCCTGATACCCCCCCTCATGGATCCGCCGCCGCCGCCGCCGCCACCACCACGGTTCATCCGGAGGTTATAAATAAGGCTTTTATACCCCCCCCCCTCAACGGCACCAGCAGCAATGACGCAATCGAGAGCTGGCCGCAAGAGAGCCCCCACAATGAAGGCGTTAGACCGAAAAGGCGCCAAAACGCGGTATAGGGCAGGGCATAGGGCAGGGCACAGGGCAGGGCACAGGGCAGGGCAGAGGCAGGGGCAGAGGCAGGGGCAGGGGCAGAGCAGGCTGAGCGGCCTAATAGATAGAGCTATTTCTGCAACACCACACTCTCTATATCTATTTCCTAATTTGGAAGTAACAGCAAAGTCAATATCAATACGGGTTTTTGCATTGGAAGTTCAAATTATGTAAATGGTCAGGATGGGTAAATGTACTAGTAATTTGTATGACCAAATTCCTGCCAAGACCCAAACGCCGAAAATACCGCTCGCCGAATATACCGCCGCGAATATACCGCTCCCAACACATCCCGGAATATGCGAGTACTAAAGTTGATCAGTGAGCTCACACTTTTCAGTGCCCGTCCCTACCCTATCGTCCAACTTTTAAATTCATGAGATGGATCAATCCTGCCATCCCATTCCGTTACGCCGTGGCAGAGTGTTACCACAAACAGCCGCAGGTAGGTCATGTGATCAGCGGCACGTGATTCTCATCTTGACACAATCTAATGGTCCTTCGTTCACCGCTAACACAACCTTTCCAAGAACTCATAAATTTAGCAAGACCAATCCGCTCGAAATGTGTTGGCATTTGCTTGCTTTCCATAACAGCAGGCTCCAGGATCAGAAACCAGGATTGAACGTGGCCAAAGGTATCTGGTAAGGAAAGGTATTGAGCATGGAATAACTGCCCCGCAGCCAAAGGACGATAACTAGAACAGGCAGCGCGAGGACGTTGAACTCTCAAGGATGAAAAATCAGTTAGTTAACGAGTTGTTCCAGCGGCTCTGAACTGAATGCGTGACCATTCAGAGTTTCTCGTTGCCTGTGTGAAGATTCTGACTCGTGGTAGCGCGCCGCAAGTCGCCTCAACCATTCTTCAACGCCATTAGAGATTTTGTCGGCTCTTGGTCTCCTGAAGGGGCGGATTCGGGCAAGATACTTTAAGAAATTCATGATTCTGTGACAAGTTGGCAGTTTATCCACTTGAGGATACTGTTGCATGCAGTCAGCACATAAATCAGTATCAGGACACATCCTGCAAACAAAGCGAGATCCCACTATTTCTGACTTATTACAGATTTCACACCAGACCCCGTGTACTAGGCTGCCATCATCATTTACCTCAACAATTTGCTGTTGAAAGCTAAAGTCAGCCTGGTCAAACTCTTGAAGAAATATCAGACAATGGCCCAATTCATGAAAGCCAGGAGATATTCCTTTCCGCTTGGATTCGAGCAGACGCACTGATAGTTCACGAATAGATTGGCGTAAGGATTGGACTTGAATAATTTGGGAAGTCGGTATATAAACGGAACGCCATTCCCACATCTGATTGAATATGTTCTGGTTCATGGAAGCCCAGTCCAGAGCACTCCTGCCATAGCCATCAAGAATGGAAGGATTCGATGCATGCTCAGCAAGGAGTCTAGCAATAGAAACTTGACCGCGGCTGATAGCGATATGAATGGGTGTTCTGTGAAATGCGTCCTTAGAATTTATATCAACTGTTGGTTTCGTCAATGCTTCATAAGGTGGTGTCTGTCCCTTAGTCGTCTTTATATTAACCACCTCTAGATGACCATTCCATGCAGCTCCATGGAGTAGTGTCCGTCCATCGGTCGTCTTCGGGTTCACCTCAGCTTTATGTTCAATCAGGAACTTGACCACCTCTAGATGACTATTCCACGCGGCTACATGGAGTGGTGTCTGTCCCTTAGTCGTCTTTATATTCATCTCAGCTTGTTGTTCAACCAGGAACTTAACCACATCTAGATGGAGTGGTGTCAGTCTATTAGTCGTTTTCGGGTTCACCTCAGCTTCATGTTCATTTAAGAACTTGATCACCTCCAGATGACCATTTAATGCAGCTCCATAGAGTGGTGTCAGTCCATCAGTCGTTTTCGGGTTCACCCCAGCTTCATTTTCATTCAGGAACTTGACCACCTCCAGATGACCATTTAATGCAGCTCCATGGAGTGGTGTCAGTCTATTAGCCGTTTTCGGGTTCACCTCAGCTTCATGTTCATTCAGGAACTTGACCACCTCCAGATGACCATTCCACGCGGCTGCATAGAGTGGTGTCCGTCCATTAGTCATTTTTGCGTCCACCTCAGCTTCATGTTCAATCAGGAACTTGACCACCTCTAGATGACCATTCCATGCGGCTTCATGAAGTAGTGTCCATCTATGTTTACTTGCAATTGACAGGTCAGCTCCTTGATCGAGTAGCAGCTTCACAACTGTAAGATGGCCATTTAACACGGCTTCATGAAGTGATGTCCGTCCATCAATCGTCTCCGCATTCACCCTAGCTTGTTGTTTAACCAAAAGCTTAACCATCTCCAGATGACTATTTAATGCGGTTGCATGAAGTGGTGTCCATCCGTGTTCACTTGTAATTGATACGTCGGCTCCTCGATTAAGTAGTAGCTTCATAACTGCAAGATGGCCATTCAATGCGGCTTCATAAAGTGGTGTCCGTCTATACTCTCCACCTTGAGCATTGACCTCAGCGCCCTGGTCTAGCAGCATCTGCACCACCTTCTCGTGACCTC